GCTGCTGGGCTTGGGCTGGCGATAGGAGCTGCTGGGCTTGGGCTGGCGATGGAGGCTGCTGGGCTTGGGCTGGCGATGGAGGCTGCTGGGCTTGGGCTGGCGATGGGGGCTGCTGGGCTTGGGCTGGCGATGGAGGCTGCTGGGCTTGGGCTGGCGATAGGGGCTGCTGGGCTTGGGCTGGTGATGGAGGCTGCTGGGCTTGGGCTGGCGATGGAGGCTGCTGGGCTTGGGCTGGTGATGGAGGCTGCTGGGCTTGGGCTGGCGATGGGGGCTGCTGGGCTTGGGCTGGCGATGGAGGCTGCTGGGCTTGGGCTGGCGATAGGAGCTCTGGCGATAGGAGCTGCTGGGCTTGGGCTGGCGATGGAGGCTGCTGGGCTTGGGCTGGCGATAGGGGCTGCTGGGCTTGGGCTGGCGATAGGGGCTGCTGGGCTTGGGCTGGCGATGGAGGCTGCTGGGCTTGGGCTGGGAGTGATGACTGCTCCAGATGCTGGGTCCTGCGCTTTACTTGCCGCTGATATCGCGCTCCATCTGTTTCTTTAACATTATTGTGCCCTAACCGCAAGGATGGTGTCCAGTCAGGGTGATTCTCCAACATCTCATATGATGGTTTACCTAGAACAGAATAATCTATGTAGTCAATGCTTTAAACTGGCAACAAGGTAGCATAATGTCATGAACAGAATCTCAACTATTTTTAGCAATCTCATATAATGGTTTACTTACATCAGATTAATAAGATTATTAAACAATCTGGAATCTAAAGAAATATTAAACAAGAAGGTAACGCTATTCATGGTTTCATAAAAGGGCTCAGGGGGTAGTGGCAACACAAGACAAAAAAAAAGTTTGGGCACCACTGGTTTAGAGAACATAAGAGACAGAGACAAACGCACTTTGAGTGCCCATATTCCACCAACAAGGTAGGATAATGAGCAGAAACTTAAATATTCTTAGTTAACATTAATGGTTGGCCATTGAGCATTTTCATAGAGGCAACAGTTTGTTAGATAGTTAGCTAGGCAGCTAACTTAAGATGCACTTCAGTGTTTGCAACATTAACAGCTAGGTAACCTACACTTCTTAACTTTAAAAAAACAACATGAAGACATTTTAGGACGTACCCGAGTGAAAATGCAGAGAACACACTCTCATCGACTGGGGGGTGAGATCGAAAGTAAGGTCCTTTCTTCTTATTGCAGCCAACCAAGCCATCCGGCGTCTCTTCGTCAGGTCAGACACTTGCGCTCCCTGATGTTGTATCCATTTTGGTAGCCTAAAAAAATGTAAACCGTTGTTCCTACGTTTTCCTTTCTTATTGTGTGAGGTACTGGAGCAGTTTTTAACACAGCAATGAGCTCCAGGCATGGTAAAACAGAAATAGCGATGACCTCCTTTGCTACCGAGTTAACAACAACTGTTTGCCGCTGGGTTCCTACCATCATGGCGGAGACGGGGAGGGTCCCGCGCTATCGAGAGGAGGGGCTCTGTGCTATGACGACAACTCCTCACTCTCAATACTCGCACTTCCACCCTTGCGCCCCTCATTTGCGCGTTCCCGATAAAGGGTGTGAGTGCGTAGGGCGTCCCAATTCTCCAGGGAGGTCTTTGGCCCCGCCCCCTTTGCGCCCCTGATCCACACTTCGCCGTAGCCTGCATCTATGCGCACTCTGGCGAAGGATATTGCCCATAATTCTTTGCGGTACACATCAAAACGTCGGGAAAATGCATTTAAATATACATTTTGAAATATATATGCAGTATGTGTGTAAATAAGTTTTGCTGTTACTTGGAAAGAAGCATAAACGTCTGATGAAGAATTACGGACATTGTGTTTTAACAATTTAATAACTTTTTAAAACAAGCGTTTATATAACATTCAATTTAAACTTTACACTTAGTACAATAATCTTAGAATGTATAAAAACTGACCAGATAGTTAGTTACCCACATTTCACTTTTAATTAAAAACAACTAATATACATGTATTTTAACGTGTGTGAAGCAATTCATTTAGTTTCCCAAAGGGTCAGACAAAGTTACCTTTAATGTTTATAAAGTTTAGGTCTGAAAATGACCATCTCTTGACGAGTCGATGACGTAACCTGCACTCAGTGTGCACTGTCCCAATTCTGCCTTTTTTGCACACTTGTAACCTGCGCACTCCAACCCTGGTGTGCACTTCGAACAAATGCACACTTCGTAGAGGTGTGTAGGGTGCAGTGTGGGTATTGGGACTGGGCCTATCTCGATACAAAACTAAAGTACTGGACAGTCTGCATTCAGAGGGCGTTGGTGCGCCCGCGCAATCGCCGGGCCAACTTTGGCCCGCGGGCCCCACTTTGGGCACCCCTGCTCTAGAAAGTCCAAAAGGCAGCAGTAGGTGTAGATTATGGCTCTCCTTCTGCAGCTGTAGATGGTTCCACGTGGCGCCTGCTCAGATAAATCTTGAAGATTTGTCTAGTTTGGTCTGTCATGTTCCAGTAAAGGTTTTCCCCTTTTCACAGCATCAGAGTCTGACATGAGCACACACAGATTAGATCAGTGGACATTTCACTTTAGTATTTTCTTCTTTTTAGACTTACCAAAAGTTGTACAGCACAGCCATTCCAAATGTCCTTGGCTCAGCGTCCCCGTCCTATTTATATCAAAAGATTCATAAAAAACAGGGTAATATTTATGTAGTAATTGTAAACACTAAACCCAATATACTGCTGTCCTGATGCCCTCATCCTGAGGTCGCGGCCTGGACCTGACTGACCAGACCCAGATACTCAGCGAGGACACTGTGTCATGTCCTGTTCTGTGTTTTATTTTGAAGTCACCCTTTCTTGTTCTTGTCTCGAGAATTACTTCCTGTTGTTGATTACTGCCCCACCCTTGATGTGCCTCACCTGTGTCCTTGTGTATATTAGTTTGTGTCCTCCTTGCCTCAGTTGCCAGATTGTCTTGTTTTCTGGAGCCCGTATCCCGTCTGTTTTTTGTATTTCGCCTGGATATTAAAACTAGTGATGGCAATATGAAGCCCCTTGAAGCCTTGAGGGATCGCAGCCTATTACTCGGCCCATGAGTCGAAGGCTCGAGGTGAATCATGCTCCACTACGCCATCATGTGGACAAAGAAATGTAATACATGCCAAGGGCCTATAACAAATGGTAGGGTCTGAACATGGGCTGAAAGAATACAGCCAATGATGTGGAGACAGTTGTTATGTAAGATGTGCTTGTGTTACTTTGTTTATGTAAGTGCTTATGCAACTATTGACATGAGTTGAAAAATAAACAATACAGTTATTCATTTTTATTCAAAAATAATAATTTTTCAGGAGTATTTGGACTCAGGCGATTTCTTTTTTTGCACAGTATTTCATCTGCCTTTGAAAAAACCCGTTCACAGGGCACAGAGGATGCAGGTGAACATAAATATGTAATGGCAAGTTTATATAAATTTGGAAATGTAAACTTATGTTTGTCCCAATATTGAAGGGGACTTTCGAGTCGAGGAATATTTGGCTCCCCCAGGTATGTTTGGACCTCCACTGTAGCGTTGGCAGTTATGTTTGGGATTTTGGTCTGCTGGCATGTCGTGTCAAAACGTTGCCACAGTTTGCTCCCTAAAACAGAATAAACAGGTTATAAGTGACTTATTAGCACAAATAGAGTATACATATTTCCTTCAGCTACAGATGATGAAGGTGGTGGTGATGATGATGATGATGATGAAGCAGAAGCGGACAATGAAAGTCTCAAAACTCGAGCACATTCGCCAATCAATCTTTTTTCAGCTTCTGCTGCCTTATTGGGGTTGAAGAATCCAATCTTTTTAAATCTGGGATGAAGCAAGGTAGAGAGGGACATGATGCTCATTGATTGGAGGTGGCTGAGCTTGTCCCTCAGTTGTCTTCGCAAATACTCAGCCATGTCTCTGCTGGCTGAGGGAACTGGCTTCCGAAAGCTTGTGAAAGCTTTGGCACCATCTTATGTTCTTCCCACGCGGCAGGTATTTATGTGAACTATTAACAATTTATTATCCTCAGATCCACTATTTCAAGACTTTACTTTTTTCAGACTTTGAAAGCCATGGTGGAGAAGAAATACAGGGAAGCCAAAGACAAGGCCAAAGTGGTGGTGTCTTCTGCATCTGCTGTTTAAGGCACGATAGTGCCTTAGCATAGCTGAGGTGTTATTATTATAACCCAGTTGTTTGGAGCATAACAGACACTTCACCTGCAATTGAAAAAACTATTATTCAAACGTATTTATAACAGAGAAAAGTGAGCAAGAGAAATTATGTGTTGTCATATTTGTGTAATCTATTATTACAGAATTATTGATATGCCTTACCTTATTAGGTGAGATCTGCTCAAAGTGCTCCCAAACTGGAGAAAATCTTCTCTTTCTTGCCGGTTCGATCGCAATAAAGAAGCTCAAATAGGATGCCAAATAGGATGCCAAATGAGAAGCGCAATAACCCAAAAACACACAAAGTGATGAAGGGGAATCCATTGCGTTCACTCGTCCCTTTTATTTCGAATCGCGCTCCAAACCAACGAATCATTTCCTGAATCAGTCACGTGGTACGACCGTTCGCGAGGCTTCGAACGTCATCACACACGTGACCAATACACGCCTCGACCCACACTTCAAAAGAAACGCCCCCAGATTACTCGGTCCACGCTTCGAAGACTCGGCCCGCTCAGCACATCACTAGTGAACAGCTCTCTTACAAACGTGCTATCATTTTGTTTTACACCTGATGAAGACCAGTCACGGTCGAAACGTCGTGTTTTATTGTGTTTTATTATTAATATAGCTCTTTTAACGTCTTTTAATTATTTATTCTCTTATATTATTTTTTAAAACAACCTGCGCATTTTAAACTTCATTCAGACCTTCAAGGTCTTCTATTTGTCTAATGATAAATATAAAGGAGGCAATCTGAAGTTTTAAACCTTTTATACAACTATTTTAATTAATAAAAGTCTTCCATAAAAACAAAAACAAATGCCAGAATACACCTGGACCCCCTTCTCACCACACGCTCACAACAGTCCACAGTGGACCTACTCCTACCATGATCGGCCCACGCACGATTGGAGGGGCCACAACCGCAGGCCCCCCCGGGGCCAGCGGGAGGACAACTATTACCGGGATGAGTGCTGGAGAGAGAGGCGAGGGGGTTCCCCGTGGGAGCGTGGCCCCCGGAGACGGCCTGGTGAGTGGACCAGAGGCCCTGAGAGAGAGAGAGCGAGCGTCCACATCGCCACGGACGTGCAGGCAGTCGCCGGGGAGAGCCCACTGACCATACCGCCCAGCCCGGACAGAGAGATAGGGCCCGTACACTTCCCGACTCCACACGTTGGAGACGGGACCCCACACATAAACCTAACCCTAACCCTATGCCAATTTAATTGGGGACCCCTGGTTTATAGTGTCTGCTAATATAGCCCTATCTATTACTACTTTTTCTGATCACCTGTTTCACTGAGTTATGTATTTCCCATCGTTTTCCATCGCTATAGTTTCAATAAATTTACTTTTTCTTATAGTGCGAGCACGCTGCCACTAATAGTGTGTTGGCGCGGCGCGGCCACTAGAGGGAGCCAAAAGCAAGCAAATAATTCCCAGATTGTTCTCCTCGTTCTTTTCAACTGTTATATTTGTAAATAGTTATTTGTATAATTCTAAACTCACTTTTTGTTATTGTTTTAGTTTCTTATATTTATAAATATTGTATTTTTTCCACTATCATATAAAAACTCATCACATAAGATCATGAAATTTTTGAAAATATGTCTAAAGATTTTGTCTTCAATGGACTTGAAATGACCTGAAACGTGCTCATTTCTTGATTCTGACAACATTTTTTCCCCCCAACACTTCGCCTTTCTCGCTGTCCCATTCATTTCAATGCGGAACTTAAAACGTTTATAACTCCCGAACCAAAGGTCCTAGAGACTTGAAACCTTGATCCGTCAGACATAATTCGGGTCTTCTGAACACGCCAGTCTTGGTCCCGAGACTCTTCGGTTACGGAGATACACAAAAGTTTTTTTTGCAGATATCGCGAGAATGGAAAGTCCCACAGTAGAAAGGCTGGCACCATTTGAAAGCCAACCTCATGGAATGGGGGGGTACATCTTGGTTTCAATGCTCTACGACATTCCGTTTGAGATATGAGCCCTCAAACCTTTATGGGAGGGGGTCCCATGAGTGGTTTCTTACCCCCTATTCTAACCCTAACCGTAACCCTACCCTAACCCTAACCCCTAACCCTAACCCTAACCCTAACGAGAGGACGAGGCAACAATTGGAAAAAAATGCACATACCTGGGGACACGAAACGATCAACATCCTAAAAAAACATTACGAAACCGAGATCCAGTACAATTTGAATCAAATGGAGAATACAAAGGATGACAACTGGCCAGAGGCCTTCATGGTGGCCCAGAGATGGGCCAAAAACAGTCTCCCCAGAATCAAACCAATCACACTAGAGAAAATAGAGGACTGTATTCTGAACGGCCCCTATTTTAAGAAGCCCCAAACGGATCAAATCACTACTTCGGCACAGGTACATACGCAGCCCAGTTTTCCGAACCCTCCTACACCCAGACGGATCCCCAGAACCCGCAGCCAGCCCAGGAATAATCAAACTCCTGTGGTCTTCATGGGCCCGATACTTTAGAGGATCCAGAAACGAGCACGCAAGAGGCCGAAAATACTCCTATCCCCTCCAATAACGCACCCACCGTTCAAGAACACAGGAACGAGACCGGAACATCGGGGAGAAAGAGGGGTGTAAGAGTTGGCTTCCCCCAGGAACCCTTCACACAGCCGCCCACTCACATGTCCCCACCAGAGTCCACAACAAACTCGCCCGGGCCGTCGCAGCGGATATCACACTCCCCGCTAGCGGACCACACCCCAGCTGGCTCTCCGCCAACGTCACAAGAAGACCTGGAGCGAGCCGCGGACTCCGGCACTGACGAGGAAGAGGGACAAAATGTCTACAAAATAGAAAAACACAAAGTTACTAACAGGAAGAGTGTGGACTGGTCCCTGAATGTGACCAGGCCCGTTTTGATCCTGGGGGACTCCAATGTCGCCAGGATCAAACAACACGCCTTCCCCTCCCTACAAATAGACAGTTTCCCCGGTGCCAATCTCCTCCATGCTGCAGAGCTCCTCAGCCACACACCAAACCAGCCCCAGGTGGAGAGTGTCGTTCTTTCCTTTGGGATAAACAACAGACAGCAAAAGCAGAGCGAAACATGCATAAAGCAAATGCAGAGGCTAATGAGGGAGGCAAAAAAGGCCTTTCCAAATGCCAATATTAAGGTGCCCTTAATCCAGTCCTCCAAAGAGCTCCCCCTGCAGGAGAGGAACGTGTTGACATCCCTCAACCAGCACCTGGAGAGAAATATGTCACATATTAAAAAACTCCCAGAGGAGGATTTTAAAACCAGAACGGACAATATACATTGGACAGAGGAAACGGCTAGGAAAATGCTCCAACATTGGGCCCTTGAGTTAAACTGGGACCCCCTCCAGTAATCAACATGGAGGGCTCACACACAGGGGACACACCACACATTTTTAATTTATGTACAAAATGTATACCTAACAAAACACAAATAAGTCTATTAGAAAGAGGACTCACCTTTATTCCCACCTACCAAAATAATAAAGATCAGAAGCTCCAGTTTGAGTGTGAGTTACAAAACTACCACAGGAAAGTGGACTTGGCACTGTATTTCTCACAGGATAATAATTCTAACAAAAACACTAACCCAACAAGAAAGTTTTTACCTGCTTCCACATGGATCCCGCCGAAGGACAAGCTTCCTCCAGAAACAGCAGTCCTTAGGAGGCTGGACCGCCAAGCCTTCAAATCTCTACATAGAAATTACAGAGAATTTCCAAATATTCCACCGGATGAGACTGAGGCTCTCCGCTCCCTGATGAAGGAAAAAAGAATGGTGATCAAGCCAGCCGATAAAGGCAGTGCTATCGTTATGATGGACAGGGACGATTATGTAAGTGAGGTACAGAGACAACTAATGGATAGGAATTATTATATAACAATAGAGGAGCCAATTTATCCGGACACTATACCACAAGTGAAGGCAATATTAGACCAACTTTACATATTAAAATACATAAATAAAAAAACAACATACTTACCTTCAAGGACCCCCAGAGCCCAGGATGAGACGCTTTTACATTCTTCCAAAGATCCACAAAGAACAATCCAAATGGACAGTCCCAGGACGGATTCCTCCTGGAAGACCAATCGTTTCAGACTGCAACTCGGACACCTATAGGACAGCAGAATATATTGACCATTTCCTCACCCCGTTATCAAATAAACACCCCTCGTATTTAAAAAACACTACGCATTTTATTGAGACCCTACAGACCTTACAGGTACCAGAGAAGGCTTTCTTCTTCTCGGTGGACATCGATTCCCTATATACCAACATTCCCATTGAGTCAGGGATTAGAGCCGTACAAGATATTTTTAAGAAATACCCGGAGGATACACGTCCAGACAATCTGTTAATAAACTTGTTAGAAATCAACCTAAGGAGGAATGACTTTGAATTTGATGGAAAATATTACCTGCAGACCAAGGGCACAGCAATGGGCAAGCGTTTCGCTCCAGCTTATGCCAACATTTTCATGGCAGAGTGGGAGTCGAGAGCATTAGCCATCTGCCCAGTGCAACCCCTGATCTACAGGCGTTATTTAGATGATATATTTGGGATCTGGACAGACACGGAGGAGTCCTTTAAAAACTTCCTCCACATTTTGGACACGTTTGACCCATCCATTAAAATAAAACATGAACACAGCGCCACCTCCCTGAATTTTCTGGACACAACAGTTTATAAAGGACCTGACTTTAATAAAACACACAGACTGGACACAAAGTATTTTTTAAAGCTACAGATACTCACTGCCTCCTACACAAGGACAGCTTCCACCCCCGCTTCACATTTGCAGGATTGGTCAAGTCCCAGCTGGTCAGATTCCACCGCATCTGCACCAGACAGGAGGACTTTTTCCAGGCAGTAAGGATTCTATTCCAGGCCCTGAAGAAGAGAGGTTACAGTAGGTCCTTCCTGAGAACATGTCTAAAAAAATGTACATGATCCCATACATTTACCTAACCTGTCAGTGCCTATCTCCCCAACCGTGCGCTATCGAGGCGGCCCACGCTCCTACGCAGACGTGATGAGGGAAGTTCCCCGTAGATCCCCACCCAGACCCCCACCCAATATACAAGAGGACTCACCAGTAAGACAGGCGGCGCCCCCACACATGGCCAGGTCTATCCGCCTCATTTACAGGACCCTGCAACTGACCCACCATCTGTCCTGCCTGTCAGATGAACACGGGGCGAAAGGCGAGGAGAGGATCCATAGTCTGGAAAATGACCTTAAAAGCATGATCAAACCCGCAGCCCTTAATGAGACGACAAGACAACTGTTGAATGAAAATGCACGCACCTGGGGACAAGAACCCATTAAAATTCTCAAAACACACTACGAAACAGAGATAAAATACAACGTGGACCAAATGGATAGCATCGTGGACCATGACTGGGTGGATGCATTCATGGTAGCCAAGAGATGGGCCAAAAACAGTCTGCCTAGGATCAAACAGACCACAGTTATATAAAAGAACCATGGAGGACCACAGTTATATAAAAGAACCACAGAGGACCACAGTTATGTAAAAGAACCATGGAGGACCACAGTAATGTAAAAGAACCATGGAGGACCACAGTTATATAAAAGAACCACAGAGGACCACAGTTATATAAAAGAACCACAGAGGACCACAGTTATCTAAAAGAACCATGGAGGACCACAGTTATGTAAAAGAACCATGGAGGACCACAGTTATGTAAAAGAACCATGGAGGACCACAGTTATGTAAAAGAACCATGGAGGACCACAGTTATATAAAAGAACCATGGAGGACCACAGTTATGTAAAAGAACCACAGAGGACCACAGTTATGTAAAAGAACCACAGAGGACCACAGTTATGTAAAAGAACCATGGAGGACCACAGTTATATAAAAGAACCATGGAGGACCACACCCAGATAGCAACAGACTCCGGGGCGGATCCGCATTCGGTCCGCCACATCCGCCCCAGAATCAAATCCGCAGAGCGGACCCGCGGCGGATTCAAACCAGATCCACAGAGCGGACGCTCTCTAACCTCCGCAGAGATCTGCGTGTGATCCGCGCTGCGTGTGATCCGCGCTGCGGACGCGCCGCGCATCAACTGCATCTCGCACGCGCACAAACTGACACTCGGGGCTAACTGCATTCTCCGAAAGTCCGCTGTGAGTACATCGTCAAAGATCATTTATATTATCCCCAGTTGTGTTATAAAGTTAACTGGGGTTATAGTGTGTCTGTGTGAATGTTTTGTGCTTTTAGAGCGCAGTAAAGTTTACCAGTAAGTTTACCAGTAAGTTTGCGTTAAATCCGAGAGTCACATATGTGTATAAACGTTAAGATAGTTTGACAGATGCTGGAGGAATACAGTCTATGAGGAATACCTTTGTAGTTAGTTTCTAGTATTTATCCGAATGTTTTTAGTTGTTGTACTTTCTTTTACGTGCAAGAGATGATTAGTATTAATATTCCATAATTTACCACCTGGATACTGTAAGCTACTTTTAAGTGTGTATGTGCGCATGTTTGTCTGATCACAGCAGATACTACATGTAACAAATATATTTGGCACTTTTCACTGACCAGGGTTTAGCAAAATGTACAATTTGCTGTTTTGTATTAGCAGAGGTGACAGGACGTCCGTACAGTAAACTAGAGAACTTGTGAGACCCTATCCATAAACTGTAAGTAACTTCAATGTTGTTTGTATTAGCTTTGTCCAGCAGGGGTCAGTCATGTCACTAGGTGTTCATATCATCTAAGAGGTGTGCTCATTAACTGACTAACTTGAAAACTGGGTTCTGTGATTGCTATGCCATTGTGAATGTTTACTAGTGCAGTGTATTTGTGTGTCAGTGATTTATCAGGTGGGAATATCATTAACAGCATTAACTGGCCAGCATTGTGTGCTGTTAGCTCCATTACAATGTGAGAAAAGAGGAGTCAACTCTATACTGTCTTGTTGTTATGATGCAGGTTTCTACATATTTGGACAATTCTTTTTCTAAAATATTCTTGTTCGGGAAGTTCTTTTATAACTGGTCCCCAATGATCCCTTTTTCAAACTTGACAGGGCACGATGGAAGGGACAATATTAGTGGCACCTGTGAGACTAAAAGGCAATTCCTTTTTCCCTTATCAACCATTAACCATACTAATGTATTTCAAGATCGCGCATTGACATGTAGAATCCTCCAGATCTCATGTACATTTATAGGTCAAATTCTAAGACTGACAACAGTTCAAAAATTCTCAGCAAGAAAATCTTGAATGCTGGTTAGAGCTGAGAAATGAAAACTGAGCAAAGGAAGATAACCTTTCACTAAAATCAATATATATTAAATTAGATATATTAAATGTCTAATATATATTTTAATTAATATATTCAATGTCAGTTTAGAAAATAATACTCTTTGGTTTTATTAAAGTGCTATAAAGTTACAGTATTGAAAACAATGAAATAATATTGTGACACTATATTTTGAAAATCCCTGGGAAGATATCCTCTTTATAGTTTATCGAGTAACCAATGCCCTAACTTATGCTCTAATCATTTTCAGAAGATGAATAGAAAGACAATGCCAGTTTCCAAGTCGGCGTTAAGACGGAGGGCCCTGATAAATGTAGCAAGGAGACTTCAGGATATTGCTGATCAAAACCAGGAAAGGGAACAGGCAGGCCTTTACTCTGGAGTTAGAGAAATGGCTTCAGGACAGATCAGAGACATGGACAGAGGACAAAAAAGGGATTTGGCCTCGGGAGACATGGGGGACTTGGCCCCTGGAGAGGTGGGGGACTTGGCCCCAGGAGAGGTGGGGGACTTGGCCCCAGGAGAGGTGGGGGACTTGGCCCCAGGAGAGGTGGGGGACTTGGCCCCAGGAGAGGTGGGGGACTTGGCCCCAGGAGAGGTGGGGGACTTGGCCCCAGGAGAGGTGGGGGACTTGGCCCCAGGAGAGATGGATGATGTTGTTTATGATAGTGATGATTTTTATGTTGAAGCAAATTATAGTTTTGAGTCAGAATCAGAGAATGAAAATATCCAAGATTCCCTTCTGGATAGGGTTACAAACTGGGCCAAACATTTCAAAATTTCCCTGGTTGCTTTGACAGCACTATTGGCCATTCTCAGAGTGTATCATTCTGGCCTACCTAAAGATGCCCGGACCCTTTTGAAAACAAGAACAGACAAGGCTGGTGGACAATACCACTATTTTGGTATATTAAACTCTCTTACAAACACTCTTTCCAAATGCATAAACTCTTTGGCAAACAACACTACTCTAAAATTCCACATTAACATTGACGGCCTTCCCCTTTTTAAAAGCTCTAGCATACAAATGTGGCATATTCTGGCTCTTCTTGTTTCTGTGCCTATGAAAGAACCAGCAGTTGTTTTCTGGTCCCAAGAAACCAAACTCCCCTCATGAATATCTCTTGGATTTTGTCACAGATTTAAAATACCTGGAGAATGGCTTTGAGTTTGGAGACAAGACATTAAAACTAAAGCTGGATGCAGTGATTTGCGACACCCCTGCACGATCATTTGTAAAGAATACTAAAGGTCATAATGCCTATCATGGCTGTGACAAATGTGTTGAACCTGGAAAATATGTAAATAATCGGATGACATTTGAAAACACTGACTCTCCATTAAGAACGGATGCTTCATTTGAAGATATGGTTGATGATATACATCACCGTCAAGGGCCAAACCCATTTCTAGGCTGCCAAATTGGTATGGTTACTGGATTCCCTCTTGATTATATGCATCTGGTGTGTTTGGGAGTGATGAGGAGATTATTAAGCATTTGGTTACGAGGTTCATTGAACTTTCGAATCCCTGCCAATATTGTTGAGATAATGTCCCAAAAATTAATTGATATGCGGCCCTACATTCCAGTGGAATTCTCAAGAAAACCGCGTTCTCTTCGGGACGTAGACAGATGGAAAGCTACTGAATTCAGATTATTTCTTCTTTACACAGGTCCTGTCATGCTTTCCTCATTTTTGGACGGAGCAATATATGATAATTTTTTGCTTTTTTTTTTGTGGCATAGCTATTTTGGTGAATCTAAAATTTTCTTGTCATGCCAATTATGCCCAAACTCTGTTGAAATCTTTCGTTCAGTACTTTGGTTGCATTTATGGGAATGATCTACTTGTGTACAATATTCATTCGTTAGTACATCTTCCTAATGATGTTCAAAAACATGGCGCTCTTGATTCATTTTCTTCATTTCCTTACGAGAGCTACCTTTACAAATTGAAAAAAATGCTGCGAAAGCCCCACTGTCCAGTTGCTCAAATCATTCGTCGTTTATCAGAGATGGATGTTACTGAGGAAAAAAAAGAAAAAATAACTTTGAAAAAGGAACATCTTGCTGGACCTGTGGTAAACATTTCTAATGTGCATAAACAGTACAGAGAAATGGTTTCTGAGGAGTGGACGTTGAACATTTCTTTGGGTGATAATGTGTTTGTAATTGGAGAAAATGTTTGTGAAATCTGTAACATTGTAAAGTGTGATGAGGGTTTGTTTGTAATGTACAGAGAATATTCCCAAAAATCATCATTTTTTACATATCCCTTTGAATCAGACTTCTTGCAGATATTTAAAGTATCTAACCTATCGCAATTGGTAAAGTGCGCACGAGTAGAAGAGCTCACCCATAAGGTAGTTCTTTTGCCCCACAAGGATGATTTTGTGGCTTTCCCCTTGTGCCATACCTTATAAACATAGCGTATGAGGGGGGTGGGTGCATGGGGCGAGATGTTTTTATGTTGATATTGTCTTTGTCCCTAATAACTTCAAATCAGATGCTTTTTATCCTCGAAATCGGAAAGTGAAAACAGAGATTGACTCCTTGGTTGATAGTTGCTAGATTCAAGATTATGGAACCTGTTGTGAGCGGCTTTAAATGTTTGTGTGTGATTTGGGGGACTGGGGAAACTACCTCACTACTTAGTCAAAAAAATCCAAAGTTGTAAATAGTGTGAGTAAATAAATGCTTGATGATTTTGCATATAGATAGACGTTTAATTGTTATGTTTTCTGTTTCAGTCTTGTGATGTATCATTTAATTGAATTTGTTGAGAACAAGCTTCTCTCTATTGCCCCATCGGTGTGGGTTGAAGATGTGCTTTTGGCCTTTTCAACATGATGCTTGCATCGATAGGGCATGCAGGAAAAAGGAGCTTCCCGGAGACGACTGGCTTAAATTTGATATACGCATCCTGAAAACATGTGGTAAGCTTCATAAAGACACTTCTGACCTACAAGAAGATATTACGATCAACAGCGGTTTTGGACAAAATATTGGAGTGATCTGATATGGCCAATTTTATGTTTTCTTCAGCTTTTGGTGTTTTTGTTACTATGTTTATGTGATGAGATCAGAAAAAAATGTTGTTTTGCAGACCAGTACCTTGAAGTCAGGCAAACTTTGCAGAGGGCACTGACCTGCTCCACATCTGACCTTCAGTCAGACGAGGAGCATGCTGGACCAAGAAAGAGGAAGCGTAAAACAAAGTAAGTAAACTGTGATTTTTATACAATAATCTCTAGCAATGGCAATTAATCTGTGAATTAATCAAAAATGTTCCCACTGTGACACAAATAAAGAATCTCTTCATCTTGATTGTTTTACTAGTAACTGGTAAAACAGTAATGCTGTTAAATGTATCCTCAGTCACTTTTATGGAGACAGTGGCTCAGAGAGCTCTGAGCCAGAGCCAAGAAAAGAGAAAAGAAAAGCTCCATTTATTCCACCAACACAAGCAATGGCCAAAGAACACACTCCTACTTCCCCTTTGAATTTGACCTTTTTAAAAGGTGGTATAAATATTAAACTGAATAATAGTTGCAATTAAATTGTAATATTTGTGGCTTGATTTTATTAATCCGGTAATTGATTCATTATTTAAAAGCACATTTTGCCTCGTTTTTCAGCTACACAGATCCAAATACTGGGCCTTCTTGAAGCGATAAAGCTCCAGCAAGAGCAATTAATGCTGAAAGTGAATTATTTGCAAAGCAAAGTGTGTGCAACTCCATCACAATCCGAAGTGAACTTCCCAGAGGCAGTAACATTTCCACTCAACACATTGGAGGATGTGGAAAGGATGGAGGCATGGATTAGAGGCACCAACATGGAACTGAAGCAGCAAGTGGTTGGTTACACATTTGATTCAAACAATACAATGCTTTACAGCAGTCAGTTAAAGTGCTTGGTTAAAGTGCATCAATATAAACAAAAAAAACAGGTAGTAGCAGCCATTAAAATTAGTTTGAATAATTCACATTGTCTTAATATTGTCAAGTTTGAAAATGAGTAAATCAATCATGAAAATAAGAAATCATTTAAACATCATTCATCCAAAAACAAATGGAAGAAAGTATTAAGGTAGTGGTTATCAAAGCCTGGCTTGTACCGGTTTTAACAAAGTCGAGGAGCCTGGGGAACTTGTATGACCCCAAGAAATCGCTGTCCTAAGAGAATAAAACGGATTGTTTATGTTGCAGATCAAAAAGCTTTCAGCAATCGGTGGGCAAGACCACAAAAAAGTCACGTGGAATATCCTGGCCTGCATTTTCAACGACAGCTGTGCCCAGAAAATCAGCTGGAAAGGGGTTCATGGCAAAATACCATTCAAAAGTATGGCCTTGAAGACTCTCATTTTGGGTGAGTTCAAATACTGTCAAATACTGACATACTGTGTGCCTGGGGGTCCTCACTACGTTTGAGTTCATTGCTTTTTAAATACAAACCTCAATGGAGCAAAATTGTGTCAATAAGCCATGATTTCATGGCTTGTGATCTATAATTTAATTCAGTTTAAAGACACAGTATTAATTGGAAGTAATCCTTATCATCAAAATGTTACATGTGCACATGTAAAATGTGCCTATTGTATGAAAGTATTATACTAAATAATGTCTTTGTATTGTTATTATTCTTCCAGAAGCTGTAAAAAGGAATAATCTCTGCCGCACAATCACGGACGTGGAGGTTTTTAAGCACTGCATTAGGTGGTTTAATTTGGCAGCAGACAGTCTGGCAAGGACCCGACCCATTCCACCGTCTCCATAAGTTTAGGGTTTATTGTGTTTGCATCTTTATTATTTATTTTTATTATAAATAGACATGTTTCTGTAAGTCTATATATTGCAAAAAAAAAATGACAAATTGAATATTACAATTATTTATACCATATTGAGTGAGATTCAGTGTGTGGTCATTTTGGTCGCCGTGAAGAGCTCCACAGATAGCCTCTACAAAATACACATGTACATAATATTGTACATTTACATAAATATGTTTTGTATTAACTTTGTTAAGTAAAACAAATAGACTGCTGTTCAGGTGGATTACATTCAACTAAATCCTAATGGCTAAGGTCATGACAAATCTGGAAATATGTTATATTTAATACAGAAGATCATTTTATGATCATGATTATTTAATGGTTCTTAGCAACATATTTTAAGGTTAAAGTAGATCATAGTTCATTGGTAAGTAATTACTGTACAACATGAGTCTGAAAGAAAACAACAAATCTGATGTTTCTTTTATGTATTTTAGATTTTCTTCTCGTTGGCAGTATTGCACATCATGAAGATGGAACATGATTCATCTTCTTGGTGAGTATTCAGTGTTAATGTGTATATTAGATAACTCTGATCCTATGATTATGAGACTTGTTTGTTTTCAATACTCTCATTTTACTGCAGTGTGTCAGACTTGTACAAAAGTGGCTCAAAAACAGACCCAAAGTCAAGAGGCAGTTTAGAAGTTTTAATATCCAGGCGAAATACAAAAAACAGACGGGATACAGGCTCCAGAAAACAAGACAATCTGGCAACTGAGGCAAGGAGGACACAAACTAATATACACAAGGACACAGGTGAGGCACATCAAGGGTGGGGCAGTAATCAACAACAGGAAGTAAATCTCGAGACAAGAACAAGAAAGGGTGACTTCAAAATAAAACACAGAACAGGACATGACACAGTGTCCTCGCTGAGTATCTGGGTCTGGTCAGTCAGGTCCAGGCTGCGACCTCAGGATGAGGGCATCAGGACAGCAGTATATTGGGTTTAGTGTTTACAATTACTACATAAATATTACCCTGTTTTTTATGAATCTTTTGATATAAATAGGACGGGGACGCTGAGCCAAGGACATTTGGAATGGCTGTGCTGTACAACTTTTGGTAAGTCTAAAAAGAAGAAAATACTAAAGTGAAATGTCCACTGATCTAATCTGTGTGTGCTCATGTCAGACTCTGATGCTGTGAAAAGGGGAAAACCTTTACTGGAACATGACAGACCAAACTAGACAAATCTTCAAGATTTATCTGAGTAGGCGCCACGTGGAACCATCTACAGCTGCAGAAGGAGAGCCATAATCTACACCTACTGCTGCCTTTTGGACGGTGTGAAGTCCTCTGCGTCTGAAAACTAGAGAATGCGCGTCTGATGAGCGGGGTTTCAGCGTTGCCCGGTCTGAAAGCACCATAACCCTGTGCTGCAGCTGCTGAGCTTTACAGACCAAACACACACTTTCCTCCAGGTAGACCCATAATTAGAGGCAAAGGAACTAAAAACACAATCAACCATTGATGTTTAGACTTTTTACTTCATATTCCCACTCTGTCTTAGCCTGACTCTCTCCAGACCCATGTAGTTCGCTGCACTTCACACACGAGTCTGGTACTGAGCCACAGTGGTTGGATTTCAGAAGGCAGGGCCTTGTAAAAAAAATCCTTGTATGTGATTGGATAGACCACGTGTCCGTTATCTTGAATGAAGTCTGCTTTCAACCACTCACATCGAAGCACACGGCTCCCATAGGTTGCCAAACCCCAGCAAGATTTTCCAACCCAAAATCCACGAGAATACTGTGAGGGTTCGTTTAAAAATGATGGGAATAATGATGGCTCAGACGGGAAAATAAATTGTGGTGGTTTTATTTACACACCAAAACAGTGAACAGTGAAACATATTTACAGTGCAGGAAAAAAAACAACGGACTCACAAAAACAGACAGGACTTCCAGCCAGCTCAGTTTGGGTTCAATTCCAGTACAGCTCACTCCAGCTCACTCACACTCTGACAGAACCACCTCTCAGGAGTGAGCACGCACTCTTTTAACTGGTTAGCCCCGCCCCTGGGCTAACCCATTAATAATTAACAGGGGGTTTCTTCTAAACTTATAAAACAAAGGAATCCCACACATAGTTCCCTCCCTGTTCCTCAGTGTGAACATGCCTCTCCATAGCCACATATATCAAGGCAAAATAGAAAAAAAGACACATTTTAATCCTTCTAAGAATTAGAGTCCTCTGGCCCGCCACATGCGCGCGCCCTGCGCTATATATGGTGCGACCAGGAAGTGCCTCGGTTTGGCCAGTGGACCGAGACAAGCAGCAGGTGAGTTGTGTATGGGGGAAGATGAGATGTGTGTGTAGGCAGCAAGTGTGCACCCTTGTGCGCTACAGGGATAGTATTGGCAGGGGAAGAGTTTGTGTTGATGCAGGGCCGTGCGGTTACTAGCGCGGACCTGCCGGCATGCCGCGCCACACGCACGCACAGACACGCTCCTCTCTTCAGCGCAGGGAGAGAGCAGCACACAGCTGTTGACGGAGCAGTCACTGGCGCTCCGTCACAAATACCCAAAAAAAAAACACTCAGTATGATTTTTTGGCTAAAAATGTAATATAATCAACTTGGGCTATCATGATTTTGTTTGTCTTTCTGTTTATTTAATATCTACAAGTCTCTTGGAAAAAAATATGCGGGAACCACCAAACCTGGCAACCCTGCTGCATAGTGAGTAAACAGGAACACTGAACCAGTGCTTCAACCAAACTTTACAGGAACATTTGACTCTCTTAAGCCCAGAGGCCTTTTTTCCCGAAAAAGCTATAATCTACATTTACTAAGGTTTCATATAGTATTTAGCCAGATATGTGGCCAAACTTGGTACCAAATTACCTGGTGGACCTTGGGGATTGCTGTGGAAGTGAAATAAAGATGATAAATTGTATTGGTTGACAATAAAATGAGGTTGAAACAGACAATTCTAACTTCCGCCTAAAAAAAACCCACATATTTTCCCTCAAAAAAGCTTTTTCCCTGTCTGTGGTGTAGCAAATAAGAACAAAAAATGCAGCCCGCGGAAATTCAATTTAGAAGACGTTAGCCAAAAGCTACCCCCTCCGGGCCGACTCACATCCCCAGCCTATCGCACAGCAAACGCCCCCTTCCAATCACACCGTGCCGGACAAGCCAGCCGCTTAAAAGCGGAGAAACTCCCACTTACGGCCTTCCGAAGCCTCGCATCCACCGCCTCCCCTCCTCCTCCTCTTCACCCTGCCTCCAATCTGCCTCCAAATCCGCTTCACGCTGCCAAATGCCGCCACCAGTGCCTAGGCCCCGGGGGGATTCTACGCGCTTCAGCGCAGGAGCCTCCCCGAACTGAAGGCCGCACCGGGGCCTAGGGCGCCAAACCACCTCTCATTAAAAATACTCAAAAGCATTCTTGTTTCTCGTCTCTCCAAATTGAATTGACAGTTCCCGATATTTTGGACCAGTCCAGCAAAAAATGTGCCAAATAAACAAACCACTGCAGAGTTGTACATGGAATTGGAAAAAAAGTCCAGGCGGAATCCAACTGTGCCAAAATTGTGCCAAATGGCACAATTTTGTAACTGTGGAATATAGTACTGCAAATGAAAAATTGAGTTGTATGGACATATTGGGTCATAAAACTGAATTCTCTTACTGAAAATACACAACAAATTTGCATTCATTATATCACACACTTTATTAGAAAACAATAGTAAAATATGGAACATTTGCGCACAGATGGGCCTCCTTCTGCCCCAACTATACGCATGTCCACGCCTCCGCGGTACTTTGGCCAATCAGGGCATGTCATACCATTTTGGAAAGAAGACACCTTCGGCTATCAAAAACCATTGAAAACGTATTGATGGACAGCACCTGTGGCCAATCACAGGAAGAGATACACAGAGGTACGTGACATGACGCACGGGTGCAGCCTATCACAAAGGGCCTCTTACAGAAGGAGGAAGTAACAGGGATCTGCCAGATCGGTGTCGAAGCCTCGCTATGAGGTTGAATACAAGAAAAAACGGACTTTTATTCCCACGGAAATGACTTGTGATGAAAAAACAGCAAAAGTAAGTCAACTTTTACTTCAACGCTGATGTTTCACTGCTTTGTTTTCTGGCATTCGTCTGCGGCTTGGTCAGCGAGTTTTAGAGGTAGCGATACCAGCCTTATAGCGTTGTGTTCAGCTCGGGGAGGGCTTTCTAATGGTGTGCTGACAGCAGGGCTACTTATTGTTTTGAGGGCGCTTGTGACGCCAAAGCAAACATTTGATTCGACATGTGCTTTATGACGATTTGTCAGATTGTGGTTTGTTGTTTGAACCTGGGTCTGTTGAACTGAAATTGAAGTGGATAATGTTGTAGCTGAGAGTTGTCCGAACACGAGGATGTGAAACATGTGATTGTCAGTTGTTGTATCTGTCAGCTACGGTCCGGACAAGCTGCAGCAAGGGGGGGCGGACCCCAAATGGGGGGCAATCGGGCTGAAGAGGTTAACCTCTTAACAACCGCCTCATTTTGGCTCGTGCACAATGGTTGGGCATACCCAAATGTCTTTGCTTATTTAAAAACACATCTTACATCTCACATGCTTGTGTGATGCATCATTTTAAAGCTAGAGCCTTCTAGTTTATGTAAAAAAACACTAAAATAATGTTTGTCATTCCTATTTTCCTCTGCATCCTTTGAAGTTAGGGAAAAAACCCAATTTTTTTAGCCTCGCTTAACATTTTCAATTTCTAAAGGCCCTAAAAAAGGCATACTTCATTGTAAGTTCACAATATTCAAACCCTCTGTTCATTGTGTTGTTGACAACAACTGTCTAAAGTTTCAGACTTCGAAGTTTTATAGTTTTTATGCAGTTTCTCCTTTTCATCAAGTAGTGCACATTTGGCACAATTTGGCACAAGTGTGCCAAATTGTGCCAAATATCTTTACTTACATTTAATCATCATAAAAACAATATTTTTTATTATTGGTACTTATATCTTATAAGTTACTAATCTATGTGTGTTTTTCTTTTTTAAATGTCAAAGTTATTTTTTTATGAGTGTAAATTCATTGCAGCTTCGAGAGCGTCTTTTATCTTCCATTACGCATAATTGTCCAGGCACAACATAAGACAGGACACCATTGTCCCACCCCTTGTTCGAAAGCTTTCCTCATTGGCTACAAGGACATGTCAATCGTAAATCCCGGAAGTAAAAGCAAACAAGTTGGGATCACAACAAAGATCAGAGAACCATGCGCAAACAGCAGCACTAGTGGTGCTTACGGGAGCTCTTGCAGACCCAAAAATTGGTCTAGCTTTTCGGGAGTAGTCTCATTTGAAAGATAAGGAGCTAAGGAACACGTAGATTCCAGATGTTTGGGTGAAAAACAAAGCTAAAAGTCCGTTAAAAGTGAAAGAGTAACATCTGTGCTCTTTTTTTTCGTTTTTTTCGCTAAAGATAAATGCACATTTTTGGATTATTTCTGCAGAATGGATTTTACTTTGGGAAATACAAGT